TTAATTTGAATTAATCTAATAGTTAAAAGGGCAGTATTATTTGGATTTGAAGTGAGTGCCTTGTTTTTCCTCTCTTTGTTGTTTCAGACGCAACTATGATGATCAATAAATGCTGAAAATTAGAAAGAAAGCATGAAGATCCGGGGACATATTTGGATTGGAATTGAGTATGTTGGAGAAGAAAAAATAAGTTCTGGAATCTGGACAGAAAAGGGAGAAAATGCCACGAGTTATATGCCTGAAGACTTTGATGTGATTTGAATAATTATGCTGGGTTCAATTGAGGGGTACAGGGACGACGAAGTTTCATGAAGGGGTGGAAAGGGAAAGGGAGAGAAAAGTTTTGCTCCATCTTCAAATAAATTCTTTTCATTATTATCTTAATCCACGAGGGGGAGGCTTTCATCCCCTTACCAAATGAGATTCCATTTTTATGTATATTATTTATTTCATAGCGAACATTTATATCATTATATTATTATTAACTTATTTTCAAATTTAAAATCCACATGATTTGGTTTAATAAAATTATATCCAAAACATAAATTAAAGCGCATATTTTGTTTTCACGTTTATATGCCCACCAGATGCGCATTGATTTAGTAATTTTTTATTATTATTTTATGTTCTATATCTCATAGACCTAAAATGATATGTAGGTTATTTTAATTGGCATTCCACGACCTAAAATGTTCTATATCTCATAGACCTAAAATGATATGTATTACCAAAGCCATGTCATTTAATAATTCCAAATATCCCAATACTATTTACTGACAAATATTTATGTGATATATTTCTTTTAGATTTTTTTTTTGGCCAACGATATATTTCTTTTAGATATACGATGGGATGGATGTGTTTGGTCAAATATGTTTTCCCCCGCTATATTCATTTCTATTTTTTATTAAATTAGAGAAGTGAAAAGAATATATGCCACCTTAATACCATGTGCTACAATAATAATTATGTTTTCAATAAACTAGTCAAACAAGCTATAAAGGTTAGGTAATCTATATGGGTTGAATAAAAAATAAGAATAAATATTGATGCATGGGTTTAATACTGAACTTATTCAATGCTCATGTTGCATCCTTATTAGCCTCCATATTTAGAATTTGACCTCTCGACCACGTGAAAAGCTGCATTAATTCTTGAAAAATTAGGGGGAAATCTTTATCGAAATTTTTATTGGTAAGAAAATTTTGATATTTTTTTATGCAAAAATCAGTATTCTAATTTTAAATTTATATACATAGAATATTAATATTCTGATTTATGTTATTCTCACCAATAAACTTTTTAATTATCCCTTATTTTTCTGTGTTGAGGCAAAAACAAGAAACGATATTGATCCTAATACAGCGATCATTAAAACGATAAAACGCAGCCGAGTTTAGTTATGTGCCTTATTTGCTTTCTTTTGACTTTTTGTCTAATTCACTCTTCAACTTTCCAATATGTTTCGCAACTGAAAATGTCATAGACGGCAGCAGAAATCAAATATGAGGAAAAAATTGGCGAATTCATAACGGAGACGGAGTAATTAAATGCGTTGGCAGGAGAGAAAAAAAAGAGAGTCATTAAATGAAATTAACTGCTAAGAAGATGACATTGGAAACATAGATTTCCGGTGCGACAAGATGAACGAGTTCTAATTACTTACGTTTCGAATCAAGGAAATGAAGAACAATAACATTACATTACGCAATGATCTGCAAGTAGTTTTTGGAAACCAGAAACTATGTTTTCTTCACCAAAAAAGGGATTCACAAACACAGACAAGTATGAAGGATTCAATGGTTGATTTCGAATTAGATTGAAGGAGTGTTCAATAATTTATAGTTTTTTCTTTTTTGGAAAAAAGGAAGTGAATGGGAAGTTGTTGAGTGATATTGTCTGTTTCAAACATTGGCGTCAAGAAATAAAAGAAAGCAAAAACATTAGCGTGAAGAAAGTTTTTACGGAATTGAATATAGAATTGGAGGTGTGATGTCTGAAAAGGTACGTGAAGTCAAAGATTAAAATAATGTAAATAATAAGCTTCACATCCAAAATATATTTAATATTGGTATGATGCGAGATTCAAGTTGAATGGCTGAAAAGGAATGGCAACGTAACGTCAGGTTTAGTAAAATATATGCATATATTTTGGGGCGTTGTGTGTGTGTGTGTCAGGTAAGAGCAAGACAGTGAGTAATTAAGAGGCATATGAAAGCGCATGCGAAGAAGAACTTGAGCCACAACAACTGTGTCATGTAAAATTTTGTGACGTTCCATTATATGGTTATGTTATGGGCGGGAAGAGGGAAAAAGTCAGCGTTATATTTATACTGCTTTCAGTTCTATATATAAGCTTCGGATAACTGAATCACATTTAACAAATTAACCATTAAAATTAACTAAAAATAATAAATAGGTTAGAAATGTATCTTTTTTTAAAAAAAAAATTGTCTTTATTTATTAAGAGAGTAAAAGAAGGTCGGTAAATAAAAAAATGATAAAAGAGAATGTATAGGGTAATATCAATGAAAGAGATAGTAATAAATACAATCAACTAAAAAAAAAAAAACTAAACAATAGTTGCTTATATTTTAGACTAAAACTATCTCAAAAATGAAGCTTATATATATAAAAACGGAGGGAGTAACAGGTAATGGAAATGTCAAAGTGCTTATGGCAAATAAACGGAGACCATGCAAAACAAACCAGTAAATTAAGCAAGAGTTTCACATGATATTTTTTTTTACTGAAGACATAATATTTACAGAAGAAATGAACAGAGATTGAAACAATTAGTTATATACTAATTTTTTTAGTTTATTAAAATTCATTAATTAATTTTTATATTAAAGATCAGAGACAGTAAATCTATATATATTGATGAGGAAAAAGAATGGATGATGTGGAAATGAAAAGAACAGTTGTGGGTGGCCTCACTTTATGATAGGCCACAGTCGCAGTTAGTTGCACCTCTGCCTCTCTTCTATTCCTTCCTCCCTATGCATGAGGGAAAATTTTAGGAATGACATAATTTTATTTATAAGTAGGACTAGGCCATCTTTTTAGAACTAAGATCAATTTTGCAATTGAATCCTACATAAAAAATTGAGTAGTATCATTTTTTATTTTTGTTTATATTAAATTTTTTATCTTATTATAGTAATTATCTTATTTATTTACTCTCTTTTTAAAAATTAAATTATAATTTTCTATATGTCTACCGTTCTTGAGTGTTAACTAGTTTTTTTAATTAGAGTTGTCTTATCATAACGAAATATGAAGAAGTTTTTCAAAAGTTGGGTTAAATGTCGAATTAAAAAAGGTTAGTAGTTTACAATTCTCTCAGTCCAATTAGTTAAATCAGTCGCGATGCCGATAACATAAATATATGTAATACTTAATTAGTCAATTTCGAACATAACATCACCACAATACAAGAAATTTATAATAAGAAGAATTACTATGAAATTCCAACTAAGAAACATAATTACCAAAAAGTCCTAATAATAATTGAGCAACCTACAACAACACATTTTAGGATAACAAATAACAACTGTTACTTTTTATTGAGATATACTGATAATTATTTTTTCCTTGGCAGCTTCCTCACATGACTGCAAACCTCTAATATAAGGATGAAATATCATGTGAACATAGTCAGCAGCATTAGTAGCTGTTTTTTTTTTTTCTTTTGTGGCAATCCAAACCAAGTAGTTAATTAGTGGGATCGTGGATTCTTTGAATTTGATTGCAGATGAGAATAAGCGGAATGAGTTTAGCGGGGAAGACGCTTGCCAGGTCGTCGTGTATTGGGTGAGCCGCGAATGAGACGCCAACGATCTCTCATCTCACCCTCCTTCTGTTTTTTTTTTTTTTTTGACATGAACCATGTTCTCATTTTTTAACCATTCACCCATTCTCATTTTTCTGACAAGTTCAATTATAAAACTGCCTTGATGCCCACGTCTGTCTATCGTATCTATATATACATTTCTAAAACTTCCTTCTTCTTTTCCTTCCCACCAGTTTCTCCCACCTCCCTCCCTTCCTCTCATGCCCCCAGGAATCTTCACGTCCCTTTTTTTAATTACCTCCAAATATTCTTCTTCTTCCGCATCTTAATTCCCCTTCCTCTTCTATTTCTATTTCAGCTTCCTTCATTGCTGTTTTCCCACCTCTTCGCTCGGCGGTTCCCGTCCCCTTCCTAATTCTCGCCTCCTCTGCATAACTCAGGTACGCAACGTCTCTTCTTTTCTCCTTCTTCTCTTCCTTCCATCTTCCTCGTCTCATTCCGCTAAATCAAATTCCTCTTTTATTTCAATATTCCCCCTTATATTTCCTCCGTAACTTAATTCCTCTGTTCCAAATCCAGTTCGTCTACGCCTACAATCTCATTTCCTCTGTCACAGCCCAACCTTCTTTTCTTTTCCGGTTCTTTAATTTCAATCTCATATCCATCTGAATCTGAAAGAATGCAGCCTTTTCGTTGATGCCGCCGCAAAACAATTGGCCTGTGCTTTTGTCCACATTCGTTCCTCCTCGCTGTCGTTCTGATTTCCTTTTTTCTTTTTCTCTTTCTCTTTCGATTCTGTTGGTTTTAGACGACATTTTCATCCCACCCCATGGGCAACCGTGTGTTATGTTTTGTGTAATTTAAAAATCTCTTAACATTTGATCGCGCACAATGAAAGCAAAACAAAAGATTTGTTTCCTGTGGGGGCTGTTCGTATTGAACCATGATTTGACAGCCCATTTTGTCTATTTTCCATATTATTATAGGTGAAATTTCTCCATTCCTTCTTCCCACAACAGCCTTTCAACACAATAGGGAAGGAAAAAAAGAAGTTGAATTTTCTGTCTTTGAATTCTTGGGTATTGAATATGCTGATTTTTAGGAAACAATCTTGGTTTACAGAGAGGGCGGAAGGCGACATGAACAATGAAAAAGGCACCACACTTGTTATTTAAAGCTACACTCTTTTCACATCGTGTCTTCCTCGTTACCTCTTGAATTCTCTGGGGAGGGGGGAAAAAACTGAGCTTTAACGTTGGAGAGATTGCCCTCAAACTACGTATCTTTTGACAAGCAAAATTCGATGGCGACCCTAGCACAAGTTGTATTATTTAAAATTAAATTTCCGGTACCTAGTTTAAGGATCTTTCGTTTTTGCGATGCGGGATTTGTTAGAATTTAGTTATAAGCTCATGTTGTTAGTTGCAGTGTCATGTCAACGAAGGAAATTTTGCTTTTTAACGATTCGTATATTAATTTATACAAACTCCAATGTGAAGGTCGTGCGTTGGATCTACAATTGATAGGCTGACAGCTCCTTTTTCTTCATTCTAAGCTTCGGTAGGTCCATCGCCAGAAATTCAACTGCACGTACTCATTCATTATACAGTGAATTCCTCTCTGTTATAAACTCAAAATATATTCCTTGTTTTTTTCGTTTGACTTTCGATTCATTGCTTTTATGAAATGGTTCCATGGTATAATTAACAATGTAATATGTTCCGTTTTTTCTGTTGCACAGTGGTGTGATTAAATAGATTATATGATCATAGTGTGATTGTCGATCCAGGCAGTGACGTCAACGTAAACGTGTAGTGAAATTTCATGAACAAAATGTACGATCGTCTGGATATATATGCAGGAAAACAGAGCCATATGTATTTACAACTTTCCGCCATGAAAATATCCGTGTGGTCTCGGGTTTAATCTGTTTTTATACATTTTGCGTCCCTACGTGTCTTAGCCATTTTGCACATTTTTAATTGAGTTAGGCTATTAACTAATCAAATATTTTACCCTGATCATGTGCTTATCTCCACTCTTCCTCTAAGAAAGGAGAAAGAGTGAAAATTAGAAAGAAAGAATCTTGTCGATTTGTGGTTTAGCAGTAGTAGTGCACACAACCCAGTGCCCAGAAAAAGATTTTTTTTTTTTCATCGTATATCATTACTTATTTAGTTAGAGAAGCAGAACGCTACAAAGCCTAATCCTTTTTTTTAATCCAAGCTCCACGTTCGGAGTTGACAATAACGTGAATATCGTCTTCGCCCTCGGGAAAAGATCAGTATAACGCACAATGAAATATTCCATCTGATCCTCTATAGGCCGAAGTGCTACCTGAATTTTGACCAAGATACAGTATATGGTCTTTAATACTTTTAATCCAAATTGCCAGACTGGATTGTCACAATAGAATTGCATATTCCGGCCACTGACTTACTGTTTAATTACGTACAGAGCCATTCTGCGTAACATGATCCGTGCAATCATTAGTCTCAGTCCCATTATTTATTCAATTTTTCATACTTTGTTTATATTTATATGGCAAAAATCCTGGTTTTTATAAAGATTATTTTCAATTTTTGCGAGGTGCAGAAGCAGCAGTTCATCCTCTCTATCCACCAGAAGATCCAGTCCAATAAATACCATATGAGAAGGTATTCTCGTTGAGCTTACTTTGTTCCCTCTGCTTAACCACTAACCATTTGCATTTTCGTTTTTACGGCAACTTCAAGCTGATTCAGTTTCTCTATGTCGTTTCAAAGCTTTAAGGAAACTTCTTCTTGATGGACTGCTCACCCAGCAGCAGTGACAAGAGAACATTGAAGCGGTGGTTTTTCATAGACAAAAGAGTTGGGTAAACAAGTGAAGCTCAGGTTGCACAAGGAAAAGTAACGCAGTGTTTTCCACGGTGAACTGACTCCTGATTATATCATAGACGACCAATTATTGCCGGTCTTGATTGATACAACCCCCAATGGACTTGAAGTCGTCCCATGTATCTCCTGTCCTAACAGACCCTGTTCCTGTGAACAAGTCAAGACTGGGAATCCACTCTAGTGTGTTAAGTTACTCGCAGCCGGATCCTCCCTCTAGTACTCCAGGCAAGTACACAAGGACCAGTTCGAGAAAAAGTCCTGGCAATCTTGATGATGTACGCTCCAATGGATGGCTAGACGCCATGAAGGCCTCCTCGCCCCCGAGGAAGAAGCTAGTTAAGGGTTCTAATAACACTCAGGTCACTCATTTTGACTCTGACAGTGAGGACTATCACTCCTGGATGGTATTCTTTCAAGCCCTCTTTTATAGTGTTTCGCTGCTCTGCCAAAAGCCTAGAGGATTTTAATTTCTGTATGTGGCTCATTTGTTCATTCCAGCGAGAGTACCCATCCGCACTGGACGCTTTTGACGACCTTGTTGACCGTGCAAAGGATAAGAAGATTGCAATGTTTCTAGATTATGATGGGACTCTTTCCCCTATAGTGGACGATCCAGATTCTGCCTTTATGTCCGAAGCTGTTAGTATCGCGTGCCTCCTTGTCATGTTATCACTGTTCGTTAAATTGTCTTAACTCCTGATTTCTTTGCTCTTTCGTTTCTTTTGCTTGCTCGATACCAAACACGGCTCAGATGCGGGCAACGGTGAGAAGTGTGGCGAAGTATTTTCCCACGGCAATCATTAGTGGAAGAAGCCGTGATCAGGTAAGTAAGAAGGGCAACGGCTATTTAGATGTTATGAGTGGAAAAGAAAATCAAATTTCGTCTACAATTTGATTGATGTGCTTTTTATTAACGTTGCCTTAATGTGTGATGTAATGCATTGTCAGGTTTTTGATTTGGTAAAATTAACGGAACTCTACTATGCTGGAAGTCATGGGATGGACATCATTGGCCCAGCCCGTGAAGCTTTGTTCAATAACCATCCAAATTGCGTGAAATCTACTGATCATCAGGTAATGATGAAGCACTGGGGATCTCAGAGCCTTTTCCTGCGGTCTAGCTGAATGATCAAGAATTCACAAGTTCGTTTTGTTTTGTTGTCATGTGGATGTGACAGGGAAAGGAAATAACTCTGTTTCAACCCGCAAAAGAATTCCTGCCTATGATCGACAAGGTCGGAAGTCGTCTTGAATGTAATATTCAGGCATATCATCTGTCCACTTTTCCAGACTAAGTAATGTGAGTTTTGTTGGGGAACGCAGGTTTTTAGAACCCTCGTCGAGATAACTAGAGATATCAAGGGCGCAAAGGTTGAAAATCACAAGTTTTGCGCCTCTGTACATTATCGTAATGTGGATGAGAATGTAAGGATTCGACAGCTTTTGGTTGTGCGTGTGTGTGTGTGAGACGTGAATAGTCATAATTTTGCACTTGATGATTTCTGACTTGATTAACTGCCTCACAGAATTGGATAACTGTCGGACAACTTGTCCACGACATGTTAAAAAACTACCCACGCTTGCGTTCAACTCACGGACGCAGGGTATGATCACTTTATCAGTATCTTGTTCGATTCTTGATGCCTACACCCCTTCTTTTCTTTCTTGTTCTTCGAAATGCAGTTTCATTTCCTTATGAACTCAGACATGGGTTGCGGTGACAGGTTTTAGAGGTGCGTCCGGCGATTGATTGGAACAAAGGAAAAGCAGTTGAGTTTTTACTCGAGTCTCTAGGTACGAGAATATATACTTGGCTCTCTCTCCCTCTCTTATTACCTATCATCCGAGAGAAACGTGGTTGATGATGATGAAATGGCGCAGGGTTTAGTGATAGGGATGATGTGATCGCGATCTACATTGGGGATGACAAGACGGACGAAGATGCATTTAAGGTATTTGCTAAATTGGCCGGGGAGGGGGGGTGAGAGATGGTGAGAAGTGAGAATGATTAATTGGGATGATGATGGTGCAGGTGTTGCGGGAGAACAAGAGAGGATATGGCATTCTGGTGTCGCCGGTGAAGAAAGAGAGCAACGCCTTTTACTCTCTGAGGGACCCCTCGGAAGTCATGAAATTTCTGCAGATGCTGCTCAGTTGGAAGAGGCAACAAGACGACGACCCGAAGCGATCCCCCGCTCTTGGCGCTTCGTTTTGATTTGAACGCATCACGACTTCTTTTTTTTTTGAGCTGATTCCATTCATTCGTATTGCCGAAGGCTACCGATTTCCCCTCCAGCTTACTGGGATTTTCATCGCTTGGATTTTTTTTTTAATTAATTCTAAATCTCAACAGCAATTATTTTTTTGCTTTTTATAATGGCTCTTTAGTCTTTCCCTTGTCTCTATTTCCCCAACGATATGCAGAATGAGCATTTTGGTTTGGGCTCATTGCAAGCTCAAGCTCCTTTTAATCATATGCCTCCCACTTCGAGACCTGTTGTTCATGGGCCAGGCCCGAAGCCCATGGACGTTTCGCTAAACCCACAAGTACCACAAGTGGTTCAGAACTCTAATATTTTGTCGTTGATATTAAAGGTGCAAAATAAGTATTATGCAGGGTGATATTTAGGGGTGAGCAACAAACCCATTATCCACTAGCCCACCCATAACCCATGAAATTTTTGCCCATTTAAGCCCGCCCAATTAGCCTAAATAAGAGATTATAAATGGGCAGGCTTAAATGGGCAGGGTAGCCCATTAAACGGGTTGGGCTATGGGCAAAGTATTGGGTTGCCCATAACCGCCCGTTTAAGTTTTATTTTTTAAAAAATATTTTTATTCTTTATTTAATTGATGATATTGTTTCTCACTCATCTTTTATCAAACCTTCATGCTTGTCTAAGCTTTTATTTTATCCTTTAGGTGAAAGTTGGAACTTTCAAAGTTTATGAGACTTTATGATTGGTGACTGCTTTTATGATTTTATCAGACTTTGATTGTTTGCGAATCTAAGTGAAGTTGTGTGATTGAATATGATTGATGTTATTTCATATTTGATTTGCTATTTGGCATGCAAAATTTATTAACAGCTTCATAAGGTTACATATACAAAATAACTACACTGAAAAAAAAAAAAAAAAAAAAATGGGTTACCCCGTAACCCGGTTAGCCCAAACGGGCTGTCCCGTAACCCATTTAATACGGGTTAAATGGGCTACTACCGGGTTATGGGTTAGCCCATGCCTATTTATGAATAAATGGGCAGACTATGGGCTAACCTTGGGGTTAGCCCACCCCGTCCATTCTCAGCCCTAGTGATATTACTCATAGCTTTTCCATCTTTATTTTGTTCTGTTCTTGTATTTGTTCCCCCCTCCTCGTGATAGAATTTACACTCAATTCCTTTTCATTATAAACTGTTAATTCGAGTTAGTTCTCATAAAGCGACAATAATTGGGCCAAACTTCCTCGCCGATATTGTTCCTGCTCAAATGAACAACACGCCACTTTTTCCTTCAGACACTGTTCAGCTTAAATATAGTCTGCAAGGAAAAAGGCGGAATGAACATCTAAGTATTGATATCATGGTCATCCTAATACTCCAATTTTGTCGATTATACATGAAGATTGTCTTGAATTCCTCGTTCTTAAAATACAACAGTATAAACACCATATTCCATGATTCTATTTCTTGACAATAATTGTTCATATTGTGTTAATATTTGCAGGAAACTTAATAGGTAACAATACTTAAAGGCTTTTTTTTATTAGATATTATGTACACATAGAGAGAGGGGGGGGGGAGGCTTGAACTCAATTTAGGGCCAGTATGTTTAAAATTTTTAAAAATAATTTTAGTTAATTTAAACTCGAGGGAGTTGGGGGGTTAGTTGTTGAAAAGACCTTGAGGTTAAAAACTATTTTTAGCTTATTTCCAACGCATCCTCAATGCTTGTATCAAGATTCGCTCAAACCGCTTACTGGACAGAATAAAATAATCTCATCTCCCTTCTATTTTATATTGATTATAAAAAAGATCTACACATATATCTTTTGAAATTAAAATTCACGTTACAGAAACATTGTCTTCGTTGATTACTAGACTATTAATTCTATTAATTCTATTTTGACAGATATATTAATAACACTAAATTATTTTGACATAAATTTCGATTGATAAAATATGTTTTACAATCTAAGGATATTTTTAAGTAAAAGTGTAAAACAGAAAATAAACTTAAATGCAAGTTTTTAAAATCAAGGAGTGGCTCTAAGGCTCTGGCCTTAATGAAAAGAGGTTAATGTGCTGTTTTGTAGTATGCGGGCAATACAGCGAGTTTTTTATTTTTTTTGTTGCTAAAGGATAGGTATCTTCTTATTAGAAGTAATCTTATTCAAGGTACTGTAGGGTGCTAAATGTGGGTATTCCTTTTAGCGGGGATTCGAATCTTGATTCACCACATTGTAAGAGACTAGTCCCTTTTACTAGACCCAATTCTGGTTGGTGAAGACGCATGGAGATGAAAACATGAATGTTTAAGATGCAATGCCAGTGCATGGACTGGGCCGTCGATCTGGATCCATTTGAATCCCGGTTCAGTCTGGAGCAGGTCTACTAATATGCTCTCTCAAGAATAACTGTTAAGGGGCAAAAATAACTGGGTGCGCGTGCAATTTTATCCCCTGTCATCAAAAACAAATATTTTTTTAATATACATTCTCTTCTCCTTTATATTTTTTATTCTTATCCCTTAGTTATTCTTAAATTTTGTTTCGAGAAAAACAAATACTGTTATTTTTTGTGAATGCTGAGATACTTGATGTTGGCCACACATTTTGGGTGAGAGATTTTCCAATTGTGCTCGAGAACTGCACGAACGCGGAGCCTCTGGTCCTAATTCGATGGAAAAATAATAATTAATTGATGAATATTTGTGTGAAGGAAATGAAGAAGCGTTTATTTCGGGGTTAGTAGTAATAATAATAGCTTAATAATAAACCGGGTGATAGGCTCTGATGAGACGCACCACGTTGACAAGAGAACAAGATGGGCATCAACGAGTTTTAGAAGTGCTTCAATATAGCGCCACGTAGGCGAGCATCAGAAAACAAATTCAGATGCTGTGGACCATTCCCGTGGGGACAACTGGTTGACACCCACATGTTGCTTGTCCTCCGCCTTCCTCCATAATTAATTCCCACATCAATCATTGATCTCAGAAGCGCCATTTTTCCAAAGTCCTGTGATTCATCTTTAATTTAAGGGTGTTATTTATGATTTTAAAAGTAATTATGATGTATCAAAAAATTTTATGCTAATTTACGTGACATGCCTGTTTCGCTATTTGGAGAGGAGGATTTGACGGAATGCGAGAGAGACGAATCAGAGGAATTTGAGCTAAATCTCAATGGATCGTGACAAAAAAACAATTCTGTCACTTACAATGCCTAATTACGAATTTAAGCTATCTGCAAGGGATTTAAACATGATTTTTGGGTCATCCAAATATTCTCTTAATTAGGCCATCAGGGCTCATTATATTGTATATCAGAAAATAAAGAGAGAATTTAATAAAAATAAAATTAAAGAATTTTGTTAATTTAATGTAGTTTTAGTATGCGAAAATGTATGTATTACAGCTTATATTATGTACTACCAGGGTGATACTCATCTAATAATATTCATTCATTCATTGTAGTCAAGTCCAACTACTTCTATTATTTTCAATGAAGGGCAAAACGATCGAGAAGCATATATTTAATGCACATGATTAAGGTAGCTTTTGTTTATATTTGAGAAAAGGACAAAGAAACAACCTTTAAATTTTGCCTATATATGAGGATGGAGTATATTGTATAGTTTTGCATACATTGTGGAATTTTGTTAGCAAAATAATTTCCCCAGAATAAGCATGCATTTTATATCGTATGCAGACGCTCTTTTGATATGGGGCATCGTGGGTGACGTGGAATGAAATCGGAAGGAATAGATTAAAGTGGGGTTAATAAAAAAAAAATTTTTTGATACAGGGTTAATATAAACTTTGATTTTTAAAATTTACTTTTATTTTGGTTTGATCTATCGAGTTTCAAATTATAGATTTTGGTTCCATATAATCCAACAAAAACATGAATCATTTTACCTATTGAAGGATCAAAATTTATAATTTAAAACTTGAAGGACTAAAAATAAAATAAAGACAAACTTAAAAAACCAAAACTTATATTAACGCATGAAATTATTAAACATCCGTGTGCGGATTTTCTTTTAAGAAGGGTTAGTATAACGAGGGGGGATTGTAAGCTTTTGTATACGTCATTTTAAAATTCAAATCTCCTGGGTAAAAGGAAAAAAAATGACATTTAGAATCTCGTAATATATTAAAAGAGAACTTTAAATTTTCTAGTCTTCTAAATTAGGAATTTTCCAATACTACTCTCCCCCCATCTCGCACAGTTGCGCCTCTTAATCCCTTTTCCTTTTCATCCTTAACACCAGGCACATGATTTCCCTGACTCAACTCTTCAATATAAGTCATACTGGAAGACAGTTCTCGTGTTAATTAGTTTTTTCATCTAGGTGTCTGCAATCAAGGTAAGTAATATGGCGTTGAAATTTGATATAATTAACAAGGATACGTAATGTAGTCCTTTTTCCATAACATATCATAAGGATGCTACGCATGTGATGATCTGAAATAGGTCCTAGTATTAAAAAAGATTAAGATACATCTAGTACTCAGAAATATTTTCTCAACTTTATTCAGTACTGTAACATATTTTGCGGTGCATCTAATACTCAGAAATATTTTTTCGAGTTCATCCGGTACTTTAAACTATTTTTTTGTCTTGACGTTGGGTGTATCAAAAAATATTTGACAGTGCTAGACACACTAAAAAAAATTCAAAGTGCTTGATGCATAAAAAAAATTTCAAGATGCTGAATGCACTTAAAAAAAATTATTTACGACGTTGAATGCATTATAAAATATTTTAATACCTCAAAAAAATTTGAAATGTTAGATTTCTTTGAACCTATTAAAAATAAGAAAAGGTGCAGCAGCGAGATGTGAGAGAGTCGAAATTCACCGGCTCCCACCTTTGAGGCGGAGTCGCAAGTCGCTACTTTTCCTTCACTCATTGCTACCGTGATAAACTTTTTACAATTTTTGGCATCGAAGCGCTCAGATTTAGAGCATTGTTAATAATGAGGAACGAGTGGCCCTGGACGAGGAACGTAACATTATATTCAATCATTTGCAAAGTAATTATGAATCTGAACTATTTCCCTTTTACACGTGGCTGGTTGGTTTACCAATGGGAGAAAGCAACGGATGGCCCCATCTTTTTCTCTTGTGCAGGTCGATCTTAAAAAGGCTCTCTCATACCATTTCATTGTCCTCATTCGCGTTTGTCTATGCCCCTGTCATCAG